AGGTGCGGTACGGTGAATGTCCTATCGTCCGACCTTGTATGCTGGATTGCACTATTTCACTATATTAAGGGGAGAGGGTGCCTTCACACACATATTCGGTGTGAAATATCTTCCGCCCCCCAGCGGAGCGCTTCGGCGCCTCTGCGAAGCAAAGCGCGGTATTCAAAAACAACAACCAAAATTGCCGTCGCTTCCCTGCCCTGCAATGGCTGGAGCAGGCGATAGGAGGAGATTTTAGTCTCATTGGATCAGAGGATGGCAGTGAGCGGCGATAGGCGCAGTAGGTCACAGCCCATCAATTACACTTGCCAGGTCTCTCTTCCGTTTGACATTATTTACTCCGCTTCTCTTCTCGGCTATCGCCGCCACCCTACTAGTTTCCGTCACAGCATATGCTGCGGCCTTTCAGTCCTGAACGGGGCTCCCCTTCGCCTTGCTGTCTGCCCAACTTAGCGGACTTGCGTTGGCTGATCACCCCGTCTTCGCGTCTGTGCCGGCCTTCAATGCAGCGCCCAACCGTCTCTTGACCGAGATTCATTGCACTATTCCACGCGCAAACGGCTACCCTAAATGTGCATAGACAACGCTCATGGTTCAACACGACCAGGGCGCAGTCTGGGAGCCGAGTATACTAAAAAGAGAGTTTAGCAGCCAAAACTCGTCAAAGCACACGTTGGGTTACCCCATCACCTAACAACGATGATGGCGGTTCCTACCCGTGAAATACACAACCTAACCAATATTGGGCGACGATGGCGCTCATGAGCCCACGTCCCCACAAACAGTAAGAGAAAGAGAGAGAGGAGGAGATGGGCCAAGGTCTTATGCCTCGCTGGGGCAAAGAGAAGAGAAGAGGAGCGGATAAGGGAGGAGATTGGCCAACGTGCGGTCCCTCGCCCAATGTCGGCTGCCTCGCTGGAGCTGGGTAAAGAGGAGAGGAGCGGATAAGGGAGGAGATTGGCACACACGGTGGCGCTGCCGGCGCCGAGGATAGCGAGAGAAGGTGCAGTTTGATCTGATCATCTGGTTTGCTATTTCTCTAAGGCCAACGTGCGGTCCCTCGCCCAATGTCGGCTGCCTCGCTGGGGCAAAGAGAAGAGTAGAGGATAAGGGAGGAGATTGGCACACACGGTGGCGCTGCCGGCGCCGAGGATAGCGAGAGAAGGTGCAGTTTGATCTGATCATCTGGTTTGCTATTTCTCTAAGGCCAACGTGCGGTCCCTCGCCCAATGTCTTCTGCCTCGCTGGGGCAAAGAGAAGAGGAGCGGATAAGGGAGGAGATTCGCCAACGTGCGGTCCCTCGCCCAATGTCGGCTGCCTCGCTGGAGCTGGGGCAAAGAGGAGCGGATAAGGGAGGAGATTGGCACACACGGTGGCGCTGCCGGCGCCGAGGATAGCAAGAGAAGGTGCAGTTAGATCTGATCATCTGGCTTGCTATTTCTCTAAGGCCAACGTGCGGTCCCTCGCCCAATGTCTTCTGCCTCTCTCTCAATCTCACTATTTTGGCCGCCGTGATAGGCGCCGCCAACAGCAGCAGCTACCTGGTTGATCCTGCCAGTAGTCATATGCTTGTCTCAAAGATTAAGCCATGCATGTGTAAGTACAAGCCGATTTAAGGCGAAACCGCGAATGGCTCATTAAATCAGCTATGTTTCATTTGATCTGTAAACCCACTTACTTGGATAACTGTGGCAATTCTAGAGCTAATACATGCAATTGGTCTCTGACCGCAAGGGAAGAGCGCTTTTATTAGTTCAAAACTGGTCGGGCCCCGGTCCGTAACCCACCTGTGGTGAATCTGAATAACTTCGGGCTGAGCGCACGGTCTCCGCACCGGCGCCGCTTCTTTCAAGTGTCTGCCTTATCAGCTTTCGATTGTAGGTTATGCGCCTACAATGGCTATAACGGGTAACGGGGAATCAGGGTTCGATTCCAGAGAGGGAGCCTGAGAAACGGCTACTACATCTAAGGAAGGCAGCAGGCACGCAAATTACCCACTCCCGGCACGGGGAGGTAGTGACGATAAATAACGATGTGAGTCTCATCCGAGGCCTCGCAATCGGAATGAGTACACTTTAAACTTTAACGAGTATCCATTGAGGGCAAGTCTGGTGCCAGCAGCTTGCACCCAGCCCAATAGCGTATATACAGTGCTGTTGCGTTAAAAAGCCTGATCTCAGTTCGGACTGACGGCACCGCCTGCAAGCGCATTGGGTCACGCCCGAATACGCTTCGCCGCTCACAGACGGGATGCTTTTTGTCGAGTGTCCCGGTACGAGAGCTTTACTTTTGAAATTAGGGTGCCTGCATGTGCTGTTTGGAATGGCCCGAATGGTGATGGCGGAATAATGGAATAGACCTCGTTCTATTTCTGTTGGTTTTCGGAACCAGAGGTAATAACGAATCGAACAGGCGGGGCATTCAGACATGCACGCTTAGAGGTGAATTTTGGACCGTCGCAGAAGACGAACCAGATTGCGAAAGCATTTACAAGGATGTTTTATTAATCAAGAACGAGCTTTCGAGGTTCGGCAATATCAGATACCGCCCCAGTTCTAACCATAAACGATGCCAACTAGCGATCCGCCGGCGTTATTCCCATGACCCGGCGGGCAGCTTCCGGGAAACCAAAGTCTTTGGGTTCCGGGGGAAGTATGGTTGCAAAGCTGAAACTTAAAGGAATTGACGGAAGGGCACCACCAGGAGTGGAGCCTGCGGCTTAATTTGACTCAACACGGGAAACCTCACCAGGCCCAGACACCGGAAGGATTGACAGATTGAGAGCTCTTTCTCGATTCGGTGGGTGGTGGTGCATGGCCGTTTTTAGTTGGTGGAGCGATTTGTCTGGTTAATTCCGATAACGAACGAGACTCTGGCCTACTAAGTAGTCGACGGATCTCCAGAAATGGTGTCCAGTTCGCAACTTCTTCTTAGAGGATGTTGCAATTCTACGACGAGATTGAGCAATAACAGGCCTCAGATGCCCTTAGATGTTCTAATACTACACTGAAGGGATCAACGGTAGTTTTCTCCGAAAGAGTGAGCGGCAACTCAAAGCCTTTCTTGATAGGATTGGGGCTTGCATTGTTTCCTCTGGCGAACGAGGAATTCCCAGTAAGTGTAAGTCATCAGCTTGGCGCTGACTACGTCTGCCTTGCATGGCACCGCCTGGGCCGCATTAATGGCTGAATATTTAGTGAGGCTCGGACTGGCGCCTGGATTACGTGGCTCCCAAGGTTCGCGAGGTTTCTGGGGGTCGCCGCCGAGCTGACGGAAAGATGTCCAAACTTGATCATTTAGGAGGAAGTAAAAGTCAGAATAAGGTTTCAGAGGTGAACCTGCGGAAGGATCATTAACAGAGAGAAAGAGAACGGGGCGCGCTTAAAACTACTACTACTCTCCTGATTTGGGCGGTCTCGGGCTCTGCTCTGGCAACTCCAGCAGCGAAAGAGGACAATCCCGGCCCCCGCACCAAAAATAGGTACCACCACGCTGTAGGTGGACCACACTCGGGCGAGAGCGCGAAGACCGGAGGAGGACGGACGGGGCTTTGGACGGCTGCCCGTCCGTTCCTTACTACCGGCGAATAAGCCTCTTGACCCAAAAAGAGTGAAATTCAAGTGTCAAAAAACAACAACAAGCCGTCCGGCCAAACCCAAACCACCAACTTGGGCTATGTCTGTCAAACCCTTTCATTGAGACTCTACCTGTGATGGTTAGTTTCAAAAAGAATAAACGGCAAATACACAACTTCTTGGGGATCATCGTCAAGCTGATGAAGGTCGCAGCAAAACCGCGGTCGGTATGTGAATCGCAAGAATACCAGATACATCGACAAGTTGAACGATATTGCGGGCGGCGGCAGCCATATGAGCTTGTCGCCGCCACTTCTGCGCAGGTCGGAATATACATCCATCGGTTGCTGCGAGTTCGGTGCCTGCTGACTGTCTCTGACACGAGGGTAACCCGAACCGAGCTTCCGCCTTGGGGTTTAATCGCCCGCGCCTTGCGCGAGGCGTGCCCTTAAAAACAAGCAAGCCTATCACTAGCAAGTCCATGGACTTGGCGCACCTACATTCAACCACAACAAAGCGACAGTTGTCGCCCTCGCAAATAACTGGAGGCGGCGCTCTTTTGCCTGCTGTCCACAGAGACACGAATGGCCGTCGGCCGCTCATGGCTGATGCTGCACATGTTCTAAGAGGCACTCCATCCCACGAAGAGGAAACGAAACCGGTCGGATATCTTTTAAGTAAGCCCCGCCGGAATTTCGTCTATCACCTCGAAAAGAGTGCTTGGCATGCATTGCAGTGGAACCTAAATTGATGAGTGCGCCTGGGCCCGCAGTCTACCATGTAGTGGTGCAGGCAGAGAGATGAGAATGCTTGGGTGACGCCGTGCTCTTCCTCACGCGCTCCTCCACCCTCTCCCACGGTCAGACGCGGTGTGGGCGTTCTCTTTGAGAGTTCGCCACGAGTCCACGTCTATCTCATGACTGGGAGGGAGGCAGGGGAGTTCTCTCTAAACGCGTTAAAGACGGTGTTGCGCCTCATAACGGCGCTCGCCGGGATAGAGCACTAGTTCTGCAGCCGGAAAGGCCGCTCACGCCAATTAATACTGCGACTCTCGCTCTCTTTCTCCGGATAAACAAGTGCCACTGCTGTGGCATGCGGGAACGGGGAAAGAGGTCAAAGTTTAAGCGGCAAAGGTGCGGCCGAGTAAGGGCGGAACACGAGCGTATATGCATTAAAACTGTGTGTGTGTATATGACTCTGCGAGAGATGTTCTGCTGGAACACTTTTCCTATTGGCTATTTACCACTCAATGAGAAGGAACGGAGTCAGGGGTGGGAGTGCCGGCGCCATGGCCGCTGGTACCCCCGCGACAAGCCCTCAAACCTTCCTGCCTGGTAATGTCGGTGGTGAAGAAAGTCGGTGGCAGAGCGTCTTCCGCTTCGTGGTTGGGGAACTTGTTCCCCCTAAGGATGATGAGACCACGATCGACCTCGTAGTAGGAGAGAGCTACCCGCCAAATTTAAGCATATTAATAAGCGGAGGAAAAGAAACCAACAGGGATCCCCTTAGTAAGGGCGACTGAACCGGGAAAAGCCCAGCGCATAACCTCGATGTCTTCGGGCACGAGGGGTGTTGCGTTTCAGAGGGTCCAGCACGCCGTCCCATACCGTCTAAGTCAAGCTTGAAAGCGGCCACTGCCCATGGAGGGTGACAGGCCCGCATGGCGGCGCCCGTGAGGGTACAGATGGGACGGTCGGAAAGGGCCTCTCTGTAGAGTCGGGTTGCTTGAAAGTGCAGCCCAAAGCAGGTGGTAAACTCCATCTAAGGCTAAATATGACCACGAGACCGATAGCGAACAAGTACCGTGAGGGAAAGTTGAAAAGAACTTTGAAGAGAGTTCAAGAGTACGTGAAACCGTTAAGAGCCAAACGGGTGGAAACTCGAAGGTCGAACTGAGGGGATTCAGCTCATCGGCTGTCGGCTGGGTGGGGTGTTGTAATTGAGCGACCCAAAAATGTTTGGGCGCGCCCCCACTCACGCTGGCGTCGGCGGGCGTATTTCGCCTGGTAGTAGGTCACCGCGACTGCTGCCGGGACGTCGAAGGCCCGGTCGGACTGGTACCGCCGACTCTCTCTCAGCTCGTCTGGGGACCCGCGACGGGGAACCACCGGTGTCCTGGCTGCCCTGCGACGGTCGTCGAGAGCTTGCCGCCGCTTCGGCGGCGGTTTTGCTCTCGGGGCGGGTGTGCAAAAAGGTCGGTGATCCACCCGACCCGTCTTGAAACACGGACTGCTGAGCCCAACATG